ACCCACCCCTCCTCACTGTGCATAAAAACAGGGTCGTTGGGCAGTTAATGAGCTTAAATGCCACCACTGTCCTTATGTCACCACAGAACCCACCCCTCCTCACTTTCCATAAGAACCTGGTCCTTGGACAGTTAATGTGCTTAAATGCCACCACTGTCCTTATGTCACCACAGAACCCACCCCTCCTCACTTTCCATAAGAACCTGGTCCTTGGACAGTTAAAGTGCTTAAATGCCACCACTGTCCTTATGTCACCACAGAACCCCCCCCTCCTCACTTTCCATAAGAACCTGGTCCTTGGACAGTTAATGTGCTTAAAAGCCACCACTCTCCATATGTCACTATGGAACCCACCCCTCCTCACTGTGCATAAAAACAGGGTCCTTGGGCAGTTAATGAGCTTAAATGCCACCACTGTCCTTATGTCACCTAGGAACCCACCCCTCCTCACTTTGCATAAGAACCTGGTCCTTGGGCAGTTAATGTGCTTAAATGTCACCACTGTCCTTATGTCACCACAGAACCCACCCTTCTTCACTGTGCATAAGAACCTGCTCCTTGGGCAGTTAATGTGCTTAAATGTCACCACTGTCCTTATGTCACCACAGAACCCACCCTTCTTCACTGTGCATAAGAACCTGGTCCTTGGGCAGTTAATGTGCTTAAATGCCACCACTGTCCCTATGTCACCACAGAACACACCCCTCCTCACTTTCCATAAGAACCTGGTCCTTGGGCAGTTAATGTGCTTAAATGCCACCACTGTCCTTATGTCACCACAGAACCCCCCCCTCCTCACTTTCTATAAGAACCTGGTCCTTGGACAGTTAATGTGCTTAAATGCCACCACTGTCCTTATGTCACTATGAATCCCACCCCTCCTCACTTTGCAATCAAACAGGGTCCTTGGGCAGTTAATGTGCTTAAAAGCCACCACTGTCCTTATGTCACCACAGAACCCACCCCTCCTCACTTTCCATAAGAACCTGGTCCTTGGGCAGTTAATGTGCTTAAATGCCACCACTGTCCTTATGTCACCACAGAACACACCCCTCCTCACTTTCCATAAGAACCTGGTCCTTGGGCAGTTAATGTGCTTAAATGCCACCACTGTCCTTATGTCACCACAGAACCCCCCCCTCCTCACTTTCTATAAGAACCTGGTCCTTGGACAGTTAATGTGCTTAAATGCCACCACTGTCCTTATGTCACTATGAAACCCACCCCTCCTCACTTTGCAATCAAACAGGGTCCTTGGGCAGTTAATGTGCTTAAAAGCCACCACTGTCCTTATGTCACCACAGAACCCACCCCTCCTCACTTTCCATAAGAACCTGGTCCTTGGACAGTTAATGAGCTTAAATGCCACCACTGTCCTTATGTCACCACAGAACCCACCCCTCCTCACTTTCCATAAGAACCTGGTCCTTGGGCAGTTAATGTGCTTAAATGCCACCATTGTCTTATGTCACCACAGAATCCACCCTTCTTCACTGTGCATAAAAACAGTGTCCTTGGGCAGTTAATGTGCTTAAAAGCCACCACTGTCCATATGTCACTATGGAACCCACTCCACCTGACTTTCCATAAGAACCTGGTCCTTGGACAGTTAATGTGTTTAAATGCCACCACTGTCCTTATGTCACCACGGAACCCACCCCTCCTCACTTTGCATAAGAACCTGTTCCTTGGGCAGTTAATGTGCTTAAATGCCACCACTGTCCTTATGTCACTGTGGAACCCACCCCTCCTCACTGTGCATAAAAACAAGGTCCTTGGGCAGTTAATGTGTTTAAATGCCACCACTGTCCTTATGTCACCACAGAACCCCCCCCTCCTCACTTTCCATAAGAACCTGGTCCTTGGACAGTTAATGTGCTTAAATGCCACCACTGTCCTTATGTCACCACAGAACCCACCCCTCCGCACTTTCCATAAGAACCTGGTCCTTGGGCAGTTAATGAGCTTAAATGTCACCACTGTCCTTATGTCACCACAGAACCCACCCCTCCTCACTTTCCATAAGAACCTGGTCCTTGGACAGTTAATGAGCTTAAATGCCACCACTGTCCTTATGTCACCACAGAACCCACCCCTCCTCACTTTCCATAAGAACCTGGTCCTTGGGCAGTTAATGTGCTTAAATGCCACCACTGTCCTTATGTCACCACAGAACCCACCCCTCCTCACTTTCCATAAGAACCTGGTCCTTGGGCAGTTAATGAGCTTAAATGCCACCACTGTCCTTATGTCACCACAGAACCCACCCCTCCTCACTTTCCATAAGAACCTGGTCCTTGGGCAGTTAATGAGCTTAAATGCCACCACTGTCCTTATGTCACCACAGAACCCACCCCTCCTCACTTTCCATAAGAACCTGGTCCTTGGGCAGTTAATGAGCTTAAATGCCACCACTGTCCTTATGTCACCACAGAACCCACCCCTCCTCACTTTCTATAAGCACCTGGTCCTTGGACAGTTAATGTGCTTAAATGCCACCACTGTCCTTATGTCACTATGGAACCCATCCCTCCTCACTGTGCATAAAAACAGGGTCCTTGGGCAGTTAATGTGCTTAAAAGCCACCACTGTCCTTATGTCACCACAGAACCCACCCCTCCTCACTTTCCATAAGAACCTGGTCCTTGGACAGTTAATGTGCTTAAAAGCCACCACTGTCCTTATGTCACTATGGAACCCACCCCTCCTCACTGTGCATAAAAACAGGGTCCTTGGGCAGTTAATGTGCTTAAATGCCACCACTGTCTTATGTCACCACAGAATCCACCCTTCTTCACTGTGCATAAAAACAGTGTCCTTGGGCAGTTAATGTGCTTAAATGCCACCACTGTCTTATGTCACCACAGAATCCACCCTTCTTCACTGTGCATAAAAACAAGGTCCTTGGGCAGTTAATGAGCTTAAGTGCCACCACTGTCCTTATGTCACCACAGAACCCACCCCCCCTCACTTTCCATAAGAACCTGGTCCTTGGGCAGTTAATGTGCTTAAATGCCACCACTGTCCTTATGTCACCACAGAACCCACCCCTCCTCACTTTCCATAAGAACCTGGTCCTTGGGCAGTTAATGAGCTTAAATGCCACCACTGTCCTTATGTCACCACAGAACCCACCCCTCCTCACTTTCCATAAGAACCTGGTCCTTGGACAGTTAATGAGCTTAAATGCCACCACTGTCCTTATGTCACCACAGAACCCACCCCTCCTCACTTTCCATAAGAACCTGGTCCTTGGGCAGTTAATGAGCTTAAATGCCACCACTGTCCTTATGTCACCACAGAACCCACCCCTCCTCACTTTCTATAAGCACCTGGTCCTTGGACAGTTAATGTGCTTAAATGCCACCACTGTCCTTATGTCACTATGGAACCCATCCCTCCTCACTGTGCATAAAAACAGGGTCCTTGGGCAGTTAATGTGCTTAAAAGCCACCACTGTCCTTATGTCACCACAGAACCCACCCCTCCTCACTTTCCATAAGAACCTGGTCCTTGGACAGTTAATGTGCTTAAAAGCCACCACTGTCCTTATGTCACCACAGAACCCACCCCTCCTCACTTTCCATAAGAACCTGGTCCTTGGACAGTTAATGTGCTTAAAAGCCACCACTGTCCTTATGTCACTATGGAACCCACCCCTCCTCACTGTGCATAAAAACAGGGTCCTTGGGCAGTTAATGTGCTTAAATGCCACCACTGTCTTATGTCACCACAGAATCCACCCTTCTTCACTGTGCATAAAAACAGTGTCCTTGGGCAGTTAATGTGCTTAAATGCCACCACTGTCTTATGTCACCACAGAATCCACCCTTCTTCACTGTGCATAAAAACAAGGTCCTTGGGCAGTTAATGAGCTTAAGTGCCACCACTGTCCTTATGTCACCACAGAACCCACCCCCCCTCACTTTCCATAAGAACCTGGTCCTTGGACAGTTAATGTGCTTAAATGCCACCACTGTCCTTATGTCACCACAGAACCCACCCCTCCTCACTTTCCATAAGAACCTGGTCCTTGGGCAGTTAATGAGCTTAAATGTCACCACTGTCCTTATGTCACCACAGAACCCACCCCTCCTCACTTTCCATAAGAACCTGGTCCTTGGACAGTTAATGAGCTTAAATGCCACCACTGTCCTTATGTCACCACAGAACCCACCCCTCCTCACTTTCCATAAGAACCTGGTCCTTGGGCAGTTAATGTGCTTAAATGCCACCACTGTCCTTATGTCACCACAGAACCCACCCCTCCTCACTTTCCATAAGAACCTGGTCCTTGGACAGTTAATGTGCTTAAATGCCACCACTGTCCTTATGTCACTATGGAACCCATCCCTCCTCACTGTGCATAAAAACAGGGTCCTTGGGCAGTTAATGTGCTTAAAAGCCACCACTGTCCTTATGTCACTATGGAACCCACCCCTCCTCACTGTGCATAAAAACAGGGTCCTTGGGCAGTTAATGTGCTTAAATGCCACCACTGTCTTATGTCACCACAGAATCCACCCTTCTTCACTGTGCATAAAAACAGTGTCCTTGGGCAGTTAATGTGCTTAAAAGCCACCACTGTCCATATGTCACTATGGAACCCACTCCACCTGACTTTCCATAAGAACCTGGTCCTTGGACAGTTAATGTGTTTAAATGCCACCACTGTCCTTATGTCACTGTGGAACCCACCCCTGCTCACTTTGCAATCAAACAGGGTCCTTGGGCAGTTAATGAGCTTAAATGCCACCACTGTCCTTATGTCACCACAGAACCCACCCCTCCTCACTTTCCATAAGAACCTGGTCCTTGGGCAGTTAATGTGCTTAAATGCCACCACTGTCCTTATGTCACTATGGAACCCAACCCTCCTCACTTTGCATAAGAACCTGGTCCTTGGACAGTTAATGAGCTTAAATGCCACCACTGTCCTTATGTCACCACAGAACCCACCCCTCCTCACTTTCCATAAGAACCTGGTCCTTGGGCAGTTAATGTGCTTAAATGCCACCACTCTGCTTATGTCACTATGTGACACACCCTTCCTACTTTATATAAACCCAGGGTCCTTGAGCAGTTAATGTGCATAAATGCCACCACTGTTCTTATGTAGTCTTATGTCACCATAAAGGTACCCTTCCTCACTTTGCATTACAACAGAGGGTCCTTGGGCAGTTAATGTCCCTAAATGGAATTATTGTGTTTATGTCTGTATAACACCCTCACTTTGCATAAAAACAGGGTCCTTGGGACAGTTAATTTGCTTAATTCACCACTGTCCTTATATTAATTTAGAACCCAATGGTCCTCACTCTGCATGAAAAGTGTGGGTCCTTGGACAGTTAATGTGCTTTAATGCACCACTGTAATTATGTCACTGTGGGACCCACCCTTCCACACTTTGCATAACAACAGGGTCCTTGGGCAGTTCATGTCCATAAATGCTGACCCAGTCCTTATGTCACTATAGAACCCACCCACCCTCGCTTTGAATAAAAACAAGTTACTTGGGACAGGTAATGTGCTTATATTGGCTACTGTCTCTACTGTTACTCTGGATCCTGTATACTCCCATCCCTGTGCATTTTCTGGCAGCCAATTTGGTATTGAAATGTACTTAAATGCAGCTGTGATTACTGCAGCTGTGATACCTGTAACTGATACCTTTTGTTTGTCTGTTTTCCATCTCCTCTAGGTCCTTTTGCCACATAGGAGATGGTAGTTAGGCCCGTCAATGGGGTTAATTAAAGCTGCTATCCCTTCTGGTAGTCCAGCATCCCATGCACTCCAAGTGTGTTTACGTTTACTAGGAGTGTATTTGGTTATGCAAAGTTGCCTAAGTGCAGCAATGGACTCTTTTCTTTGTCTAGATTCCCATGTACCCCCCAGTCTTATTACAATTGCCAGTAGGGCATTTGACACTGTCAGTGTGCTTAACTGACGATTTCCCTTCTGTAATTCCAGGATCACTTCCTGCCCTTTTACCTTTACATCACCTAGGAGGGTTTTTGGAACTGTTAAAAGCAGTTATTTGGCAGCAACTGTCCCTTTTGTCAGTCTGGGATCCCATGACTTCCATCTCACTTTGCATTACAATAGGTCCATAACATTGGACTGTTAATATGCTTAGAGGCAGCTGTGGTCCCTTCACTTAGTCTGGGATCCATGTCCTGAAGCATGTTTTGTATATGGCGTCCTTAGGACTGTGAATGTGTTTAAATACAGGTGTGGTCCCTTTTGTTTAGGAACATATGATCTTTTGCTTTCTTTATATCACCTGGAGACTTAAAAGTTTAATTGTAGCTGTGGTCTCTTGTTAATCTAACATTTCATTTTCTCCCTACCTAGTTTGCATTACAACACAGGGTACTTGGGACTGTGAAGGTGTATCCCTTACAGTCATATCTGATAACAGAAGAGGACCTGAACTCCAAGGCCCCTTTTGCACTGTTAATGTACACTTTGCTTTAGTCCTGTCTCCTCTGCAGTAGACATGGCCCTCACTCATTTTCCTTATTCAGCAGTGGATGCCCTTTACTAAGGACCTTTATACTAGTATAGTTAAAGTGAGTCATGATCACTGACCACGACTATGTCTTTTATTTAAGGTCCCTGTACCCTCTTCATTTTACAAGAAGGTGTATTAATTACCTGTTACTTTCCCCCCGCAACTATTTATGTGCAGAATTTCCGTATTTATGGCCCCCTCCTTTAAACGGATACCCCATTGTTTCTATATTATGGCACGGGATGCTAGAGACCCAAAGTTCTTCTCTTGGGACTCTTAATGTGCATATTCTCTGCTGTTAAGGTAATATCCTGCCTTCTTTGTAGCAGAGATTGCTGACCTTAAAGCCCTCTCTTGTGCATATGTTTAATTAGTTGTCCATGATCCTTTGAATTAACTTGGGTTCCTGACTCTTCATACCCTGCTTGGTTTACTGTGTGGAGTACTGTCCACTTAAGGCCCCTTTCTCAAACTGTTAATGTGTATAATAATTACATTAGGATCCTTCCTCTTCTCACTCCCTTTGAAGTGCCACAAGGACTCTGCAAATGTTAATGGGCACAATGGCAACTAGCAATGGGTTTTTCCTCCCTGGCTTCAATTTCTCGTGGCATCCTAAATTATAAACATTGCAGTATGCCCTTAACTTATTCTCCAAACAGCAATCCATACTCCCGCTCCTTTTGCATTACTCCAGGCCATGCTCCCAAGTAGTCATGGTCTTGCCCTTATCTTCCCTCTCCCCACTTCCTGCCTATAATTGGACCCTTCTTTTGGACCATTAATAATCAACAATTTCAGGTATCCATGCATCCAGCCGTTAGATAATATTGTGGTCCATCATCTTTCCTGCCCCTTCCCTACCCTGCCCCTTTTGCATTGTCGGTGGGGAATGTTGACTGGGCAAGGCCCTTTAACTTGAACTTAAATCTTAACAATCCCAGATGTTACTGGTTTACCCAGTTTAAATTGCTGTGGTGCTTCAGTTGCACTTTCCTTGGTCCCGCCCATCTGACATGGACCCCTCTGCTTCCTATTTTGCATTGCTTCTAAGTAATGCTGACTACCCAAAGGCCTTTCTGTGTTGTTAACACAGTACTGATTGTCCCATTCCCCCGCCCATCAGCCCAACACCTCCCTACCACTTTGATGTTGTATTTGTGCAGTGTTGATTACCAAAAGCAGGCCTGAACTAGGGGATGGGCCTTCGCTCCTTTTCTTGTCCCATTCTTGGGCAGGAGCTATTTAAATTAATGAATTGAAATTATTGTCCCATTCTTGGGCAGACAGGAGCTATCTGCCCACCTCTGTTGCTACTTGACTAGGCAAAAGGTTCAAGGCAAGTGAAGCCCAAGCAGCTGGATTGCCACCCTTTACATGCTGGATTTCCAATATATATAAGTATCAGTTGAGAGTTGTCTCTCCAGGAAGGAACGTTAGCACTGTCTCTGTGTTTTTCCTTCTAAAGCAGGTTGCCTGTCTAAGAATCTCTCCTCTTGTATCTTGCTGTTCTACAGAGTCAATTGGCAGGATACAACCAAAAAGTGACTGTTAAACTCTTTATTAAGACAGACATCTGGATTGCAAGGTGGAATTGATAACCTGGTCATTAAATTTTTAAACTTAAAAATGCATTTATACCTTGTACCTGATGACCAGTGTCTCTCATTTTACTAAAGGCTGGTGGGTCTGTGGATAGACCACTGTGACTCTTGCTATACCAAAGGAGTTCTAGAATGGAACTCGTAAGACCAGTATCTTTGGGCTCTACCACCATTTTAAAACCATGCCTTCTTTGGGCTTTACCACCATTCACTTTTTAAAAAACTACCTAAATTTTTTAATCCTTAAATATCTTCATCTGGAACATCAACCAGCCCCTACTTGTTTCAAGAAGATTACTGTAAAAGGATGAAATGAGACAACATATACTGAGGTACTTTTGAAAGTCATAGATCACCTTACTTGCAAAGTCTATTACATAAAACACACTGTTTAATTGTGCTCATTTAAAGGAGGCTTAAGCACCCCACTGAAATGAGGACTTAAAAATTATGGGATTTGTTTCCCTATTTTTATATCAAAAGAATAAGCCAAGATCTAATCATTCTTCTTGACATAAATGTGACAGCGTGCTGTGTGGTAAAAACGAGTAGCGTGGCCTGTAGTGTACAGGGTGTGGTTGCAGAGAATTCCTTAATAAGGAACTACTGGAGCAAATAACTAGTTGTCACAACAGCAGTTTTTTGTAATTACTGAAAAGGGATACTATAAGGTCAGCCCAGGTCAGGGTGCAGTTTGTACTTCTAGCTCCTTGGACAGCTGTAAGAAGAGTCTCTGGCTCTTTAGAATACTGTAAGTACTGCTTTATAGTTTACTAAGCAATCTTTTCCGTGTTCTGCTTCTTTTTCTCTTAGATGCTACCCATAGCAAAGTCAGAGGTTTCCTGTTGACCCAGTTCCCACCTCATCTGCAATGTATATATATAATATATCACCATATGAGTTATAGAATTGATATGTGTACTTGGCCCTATGCTAGGGTACACTTAAGTGAGGGTCCTATATATGTTATCCCCTAGGTGGTTGTATTGTTGAGCTAATATAAGCACACTTGAAATAATTTTAGGAAATGATAATCAAGTGCTGCCTTATATGAATTACGTTAAACTTTTATAAAGGGAGCCCACCAGGGTTTGAAGTTGACAAGACAAAGAAGAAGGAGTTGGGTTTACTCTTTCTCTTTGGTTCAGGATATGATTAATATTGCAGCCATCTGGGTAGTCCCTGTTGGTTCATTTAATGCCATTTGGTTTTTACTTCTTTTGAGGCATGGAAATCAGTTAAAGAGATAATGCCTGGTCACTGTTTGGCTTTATGCCGTGGCTGGCAAATTGCTGATTGCTAAATCTCATAAGCTTGAGCTTTTCAAGGTTAGGGGATTGAGGCTATAAATCTGATATGTTGGATCTTTGTACCTTTTTATTTTATCTCTGCCGAAGAACAGATAAGAGTAGCGATGATGCTTTTTGTTTGACATGTTTGTGGAACCTGTTTGGCAAGAGGGCAATGGAGAAGTATAAGTTTTATGAGCAAACCATGGCCATGCCTACTTTATGATGAAGGTAATATGCCCTCTTCCCCTTAGCTTTTTAACAGGTACTTTGGTAAACAGAAAAAGCTCAGTCTCCCTCATATAAAACAAACACAAAAGTAGAGCTGAGAAATAGTAACATCAAATTTTGAAGCATTTTTTGTGCACATCAATACTTCTTAGCAGGAGCAAGGAGGATCAGTGGGCTGGGCTTCTTGCTGCCCATTTCAGTTCATATCCTGATTTCCTCACAGCTTGTCCCCCTCCCCCTGACGAAATGCTTAAAGACAATATTTGTCTGACTGACTGGGAGTAATATCCAAATGGTCCTGAGCCTTGGAAGCATGGTCTTTGCTATTGTTTTTCAAACCGAAGTAATTTGTCAGCATGAAACACCTTCTACAGGAACAAAATTCTTTGAGATCCTAAAGAACATGTGTTTTGAGGAATACTGACCTAAAGTTATTTCAAATGTAAACATGTTTTCCAATTTTAGTACATCTTTATGGAAGAAATACATATATATACCATTTTATACAATTTATGTAGGACTTGGAGATTCATGAAAATATATCCACAAACCTCCAGGGTTCTTATCACCAAATCTGAGAAACACTGGTCTATGCTTATGAAATCTTTTATTGCTACTAATTAAATTACCATTGAATGTTAACATACAACTATATTTATTGGAATTTGTTTTAAAGGGATGAATCCTGAGCCAATTCTGAACCCCTACTCAGGAATGATGGGTCAATTGTAGGTGAATTGAACTCTGCACTAGAAAGCCTCCAAAAGTGAATTTTGGAGTTGTAAGTCAATTCTTTGCTAAAATAAAATCTCTAGCAGGTGTAAAAAGAGGTGCTCTGGACATGTGTGCATCTTACTACTTCTTGCAAGTGCATTTTAATGAAGCACATGTTCTGTTAGACGGAGTGGATCGCTATTTTTCATAAGTTTGCGGTCAGAAAAAGTGAGATGCTGGCTCTAACCTTGGATCAAATCACCATCCACGTCAACCTTAGTGTCTAGGGACTACTGATGAATGAAGATAGGGACTTGAGTTGAATATCTCAGCCCCTGGAAATAACATTTTGTCCTTTGAAAAATTTTACAAGGGTAAAAAAAAAAGGACTGAAAAGTTTTTGGCATTTATCTAATTGGTTATTGTGATTTCTGACTTTCCTCCTTATAGAACCTTAATGTATAGGATTGGAGGAAGTTTCCTGAGTCTGGTTTTATGAATCTTTTCCTATAATCCCCTTTAGCTTTTCCACTGATTGTAACTTAACTTCTCTAACCAACTCAGAGCTGTCATGATTAAATATAATTTCTTTTCAGGGTCTCTGGGCCCTGGTTAGCAAATGTACATCCGGATGGGAGATTTTGCCACTACTGTATTTTTTACTACACGTGAGTGGCACAACACTAGTTTCCGTCAAAAACCATCCCAAATTGTATCTCAATAAGTATTTGTTCGAGACTTAGCTGACCTTTGCTGAATGAACAAATTAAACTTAAATGGCCACGCACAGTTATATATCATTGTACTGGTGCCATTGAGTTAGCCATATTTTTGTTGGTGGTTTAGGTTTTTACTTGATTGCTCTTCTTTGACCTCTCCAAAACAGAGCACTGAGACCTGGAATGTTAACTTCTTTGTGCATCTTGTACAATGTCAATAAAGAGCTCTTTCCTTTACTGTTTTCATGCCTACATTGGAAATGAGCTTTTGATTTGTTTACGTTAGGATGAGAAATTGAAGCAAAATTTAAATGTGACCAGTGCTAGATTTCTTAAAAGATGTGTGGGGTTAAAGTATTTTGTTTGATCAACTAGAATGCTGTTCTTCTAGTTTGTCTGGAAATCTTAGAGGCTATGTAGCAGACCCAAGTAACAGCTTCTTATTGCATAGACTATAACCAAATGCTTATGCAGGTACGCTGGGAGCTCAGCGTACATTACTGAGTTTCATAAAATGTCTAGGTTACTTTATCCACAGCTTTGAAATCTTTTGCCATACTATATTTTAAATAACTTTTGATATTATGGATAATTGAACATTGGAGCCTTAGGTATATCAACTTTAAAACAAGTAAATCCCTATAAACAGAAAAGAAAGACAGTGAGTCTTTTGGCCAGGTTTGCAAACAATGAAAGTACCTACTGTAGCAAAATTGCAAAGTAGAATTACCAGTCTCAAGTTCTATCAACATGAGACATGACATATCACTGTTGATGTTGATTGTGATCACTTAGATTATACAATAAGTATTCTGTTACTGATTAACTTCTTAAGAAAACTCATATGCACACTTTAAGTTCATGGAAATAATTTTTAAGCTAAAAGGTATGAACAAAATAGGAATAAAATATTTTTGCTTAGATCTATAATAAAACTATAAAACACAGCAAGTGTACAGAATAGTAGTGAATAAATGGCTATTAAAACGTAAAAATGCTACTCCTATTTTGGTGGTGTTGCTTCTACTGTCTTTTCTTTACATTCCAGGCAACAAAACCAGTTCTATTTGCCACCAGTCTGGCAGTGCAATCCTCCATGATGCATTAGTCATCTAGCTGGTCCAGACTACTCTTATGGTTACATATAAATATGGTAAAAAAAAAAAAAAAGGTTGTAGAAGGCTCTTGTAGCCTGAGAATCCTTGCCCAGACCCCAGAGTGAAAAGACCTGGGTTTCAGTATCACTCCACCACCCACTAGCAGTGAAACCTCAAGGGAGTCTCATCTCCTAGCCTCCCAGTTTCTTTGTGTAGAGAATGAAAATACTGGATTACATGATTATTAACATTCTTTCTTTCTAACTGTGATAGTTCTGTGATTTATCCAGTGTTGGAGCATTTGAACCAGCTGGCTCTCTGCCACTTGGTTTTTCTGTCTAAAGTACCTTGACATTTTGTTGGGCTAAGTGATGATGGATCAAGAGTCTAAAAATTCTTGTCAATAAATATTGAACCCTAATGAATTGTATTCTTCTTATCCAAAATGTAACGACTGTCTCTGGCTTTATATTACCTTTAAGCGAGAGGGAAAGATCCTTGTATATGTCCTCACTGTAATGACATAGAACACTATATGGCTTTGATGCGCAAGCAGCCATACTCAGTAAATACAGTCTAGAGTAGCTCAGAAGATCGGGGGAGAGTGCAAAAGTTGTTTCCTTTTAGGTACCTTAACTACACGGTGTATAAGTGAATTTGAACTTGGATCTACTTAAAGGTCCTTTGGGAAAATTTGCTTTCACATGGAATGTCCATTTCCCATCAATAATAGAGTTTCAGGAGGGAGCACAGTAAATATGTATAATGTATGGACTGCCATGTTTAATTGGTAGCATATATTTGGAGATGAAGTATCTAATTTCAGGTTAAAATGAGGAAGGGTTTGCTAAGAGATTTTGAAGTTTGTTCTGCTCATATTCAAAACATCATAGAGTACCAGTTTGGCTTCACTGGACATTTTATCTAGGCACTATAGAGTTGAGTTAAGTGATCTTTCACTTACTATCAGAATTTGTTTGTTTGTTGACATAAAGACCCTTATAAATAACATGGCAGTTTCTGATCACAAATCTGGAAGCTGTATCTGGTTCTTCCCACACCATACTATACTATGCAAAGTGCTTTCAAGATTGCAAACCTGGCCTAGACCTGCCTCAGTGAGCTCCTATACTATAGTAAAGGCAGCTAAGTATTAAAAATGGTCAAGGCAAATGTACCTCCAGGCAGTAGTAATTTCTCTGCTACCTTGCATCTTGAAGTATTTTCAGCAAGAGCATGACATTTAGACCACAAATTTAGTCAGCCTTTAAAGTGGGTATTGGTTTGACTCATATTTTCATTTAGTTTTTTTTTTTTTTTACACTTGCCTAACCTTCAGTGATACTGCCATTACAGGACCTTAGGGAGACCATATAGGCTAGAGAGGAGAGACAGGACATACTTATATCTAATGATTCAGGCTAATGCTTCCTAGTTATTTTGATGTTGTTGAGGTTTTATCAATGGTTTTGGTTCCTATCCTACTGAGTACTGTCTTTTTCTTAAGGATATTCTGAGCATGTGAGATCTGAAGACTACAAGCAACTCTAAGAAGGTCCATACTCAGCAGATCTTTCCTTTTGAGAATCTGGATAAACTCCAGCTAATCTAAGGATGGCTTGCAGACCACCTGGAGAAAAAGGTAATTTGAGGAGTTTGTTGTGGCTTTAAGGGCTTTAACTTCCTGCAGATCCCCTTTTAAAAACAGAACAGGAGCCCGTTTTCATCAAATCTTATATGTATACATTTTAACTTTCCAGAATGAATTTGGCCTATTATTTTTATTTATTCTCCAGAGCTAGGCCTCAGTGGGGTCTATGAGGGCAAGCAAACTTGGTCATCATTTTATAAATGAAGAATTAGAGATGCAAAATAATAAATTACTTTCTTTCAAATCTCATAGCTACTTAGGAGAGAACAAATCTATGCCGTCTCATTAACAGGCCTAGAGATTTATTTCTCCTTTCCTTGGGCATACTGGTAGTAAGTACTGAAGATTTATTGATGAGTACTACCAATACGATCTGTCATAGCCCTGTTCTGGCAGGCCTAATTCCATTGACCCTGCCATTCCCTTATTATTGTAAGAAATTGAACATTTGTTACTTTGAAAAGCCATGAAATTGCTAAAAGGCAGAATAAGAGACCCTAGCCTTCTGTACCTTGTTTTTCCTTTTGCATACATTTGCTTAGCTGTTATAATAATTGAGGTTTTATATCGCTGTAACCATTCTTGACTTCTCTGAATATCCTGGGACTGGGGTGGTATCCTGTCTATGTAAGCTGTTCAAGAAATGTACCATGTGGATTAAGTAGAAAACAGTTCTGACTAACATATGATTCCTGGTCTGGGCATATGCCTGGGTTGTGGGCTCGATCCCCAGTAGGGGGCGTGCAGGAGGCATCCAATTGATGTTTCTCAATCTCTCTCTCCCATCCTCTCTTTCTAAACAATCAATAAAAACATAATAAAAAAATAAACTTCTCTTTGACCTGAGGGGAAATTCAAGGCATGAGTAGAAGAATTTGCTTTTCTCTAGGCTGGTAGCTGGAGTGTAAAGCTCTCCACAGTTCTCAATTTCCAGCCCTCAATCCATCCGGAAAAAAGTGGTGGATATCGCTTAATCTAATCACTAGTTGCTCTTAGAGACAGACTTGCCCAGTATACTGCATTTCAGTAATTTATTTCTCTTTTCTCTCTTCTCCAGGTCTTCCTCAGAAGAATAGGCTTGCTGCTTTACAGTGTTAGTGACCTATTCCCTTTGACGATCCCTAGGTGGAGATGGGGCATGAGGATCCTCCAGGGGAAAAGCTCACTACCACTGGGCAACAACCCTAGGCTAGGAGGTTCTACCATGATTCTTTCCTGGGTCCGGATAGGAAGGTGAAGTCGCAAGACATTCTGCACACATCAGAGTGAGTACGCTGTCCCAAAAAGCACAATAAAGGCTAATGTCTTTAATTTTTCAGTATACATTGCTTTTAGCTTTCCACTGAAATTGTTTTGATCATTATCAACTGTGTCTGCTTTGGTAAAAACAGCTTCCTAACTCACCTGGGAAGCAGTTGTGTGAGAGGGCTGAAAATGGTGATGTGAAGAAAGTAGCCGGCTTCCTGAGTTAGGGTAGGACTGTAGTATGTTTCTAGTGGCTCGGCGAATATTATTAGGGAAAACATTTTGCTATTTATGCCAGTTTCCCATTCTGTTGAATGAGGAAGTTGTATTAGTTTTCTCTCTCTGAGGACCTAAACTTTATGCATTTCTAAGCTCTGTAGAGGTAGTTTCTGTAACTCATTATTTTGAATCTTCCCATAACTCTAGCTAGTACTCAGTTAAGACTTCTTTATGGAATTTATATGCTTTCTCTCTCTTTTTTTCCTTTTTTGTAGCTCCTGATTGTTCCCTTTGTATCTACCAAATCGTTACCTTTCTCAAAAGCAATGAAGAGAGCAAGAAATTTGAATACAGCAAAGGAAGATCAACGTGCCTGGCACTCTGTCCTAGAACAGCAGAGCGAAGTAAGTTGTTGGTATTGTAATCATGTGAGGACCGGTTTAGAGCTACTAATAGCTGTTTGTTGGAGGTTTCTGTGGGGTGGGATGTGGTCATCTAATATAAAGGAGGGGCCTGATGTGAGACGGGAGGATAGCCAGGAACCTGTAAAGGCATACCTCAGAGATACTGCAGTGTGCTTTCAGACCGCCACAATAGAGTGAGTTGTAAGCTCTTTGCTGGTAGAGGATGTTGCTTCCAATGTATTAAAAAATAAATTAAAAAAAGCAACATCGTTGAAGCACAATAAAGTCAAGTGCAATAAAATGAGGTAATTTATGCCTGGGTTCACTGAACCAACTCAAAGATTAATTAGTCTGTACCAGTTGTGTCAAGGTGAATCTCACCCTGTCCTTTATCTTCATGGCATACATTCTTTGCCACTCTTAGAGGCCTAAACATATAGAAACTTAAAACAAAAAGTTTTTGCTTTTTTGCTGAAAGGGTGGCCATTTTTCTTATCTCCTCTTATGAGAGAATCTATCTGCAGTTAACATTTAGTGTTAGAGGAAAAAGCCAGTGCTTTAATTGTGAAGGGTATGAAATCAAGTAAGTTTTCTAAAGGGATGGGGAAAGGTGAAGATAAAAAACGAGAGTATTGACTAGGAGCTCTCTAAGGGCCCTTTATAATAAATTCACTCATCTGTAAAATAATGTATGTAAACCTTCTAAGTTTATTTGACCAGTATGAGTGACCACTACTACCATCTAGTGGCAGGTAGACTTGTCATGTTTTGGTTTCATGTAAGAAATTTCTAAAGTAAAAAACATCTAAGTAGAAGAGCATCTGTATTGGTGGTGGTTGTTGTTACTATACTTATTATTATTGATCTATAAGTAGTAGTGGTACTAATAATAGCTTATTGTAGTTATTAATGTTCTTTTTGGTTTTCTTTTGTTCTCTTTGTGATGCTTCTCATGACTACTGTGCCCCTCACTGTACCTTGTCTCTTCTACTTCTTACCCTCTTCTAAATGTCTGCCTTGGCTTATACCTTTCACTCATAAGTGTGTATTTCTTTGCTTGTCTATTTCTTCCTTGAATGTCTTTGGTCTTTGTTCTCTAATGTGTTTCTTAACCAATTTTGTGATCCACTTGCTTGTTTCTTCGTCATATTTCCTTTTTTGTTCATAAGAGTCATTTGTGCCTTGTCTTAGATGTCTCTCTTTTCATTTTGTTACTAATTGTCTTTGTTCTCCTAGATCTGGCTCTTCTTTCACTGTTCTTCCCGTTGTGTCTCTGAGTCACATGCTGTGTGCTTTTTGCTCATTCCTTGTCTTGTCTACCTCTCTTTGTTCTTTGTGAACTCTGATTGTTTGTCACCCCCGCCCCTTTTGTTAGTTTGATGTTTTGCTTTTTTCTGATTCTGGCCTCCCTTCTGCTTTTTCTACTCTACATCTTGGATTTCTCTTTTCTATATGTCCTTTCTGCCTCTCTTGGGCCATTTTCTCTTCTTTTTTCCTGCTGTGTGCCTCAGTGTCTCTTTGTTCTATGTGACTATCCATTTCACCTTTCCTCTCTCTATTCTATTGTTTCTTTGCTTTTCCCCTTCTACCCACCTTTGGGTATTTCAGCCTCTTCATGAGTCTTGTCTCCTCCTCTGATTTCCTGCAATCCTCTCTTTTCTTCTTGCACACTTTTTGTCCATCTGTGTGTGTACACCAATGTGTGTATGTTTGTGTGTTTGTGAGAAAGGGGCTTCCTAACCCCTTCTCAATAGGTGCAGAGTCTGCTGTCAAAATAAGCATTGCAGAGCTGTTCCTTATGCCAGGACGTCCTGTGAGATCATCCAAAACTAATAGAAGGCCCAAGGATCCAAAGACCTAAGATGGACAGATGGTAGAAAGCCTATAATGGATAGAAGTTCCAACGTAGAAGACATGGTCTGAGACTTGAGACCTATGGACTAAAACAGAAAACCTGTGTCCCCATCAGAAGCCTCGAGCCATGATGTGTATACAGAAGGTGGCCCTTGTTGGACAGAAGACTGGACTGAATTGGATAGAAGTCTCATGTCTTGAGTTAGACAGAGGCTGAAGACCCAGGTTGAGAGGACAAAGGCCTAAGAGCCAGGGACACATGTAAAGCCTGAGATGTAAGACAGACATTTTAAGACTAAATTAGGTGGGAAGCTGGAGTCCCACGACTCAGAATCCAGGAAGGCTTGAAATCCCCAAACCAGAGGAAATCCCAGTGTGAGAGCCCCAAAGCTCTTTTCTATTGTTACCCTCCTCCATATTCTCCCTTTCCAGTTTTCATATCTCCATTTAAGCCCACTTATTTTGAAATGTCCTTCTTGATGCTGTTGTTACTTTGAAGAAGAGATATCTTGAGATTGGTGATATTATGCCTGGGCCAATCTAAGGCAGTTTTTATCATAGTTTTGAGTCATTTATTGTTTTAGGTTTTGTTAAAGAGTACATTTCTTTTCACCTCCACTCCATTTGAGAGACACACATAGGTGAAACTGTATTTCAGTCTTCCCTTTTGCTCGGAAGCTCTAAAGAGGAAAACATTAGGCTATTGGGTGAACAGTGCCAGGTTATCTAGAGAAGATGTGAAGAGATGCTCCAGGCCGATGAGAACCGTTAGTCAAGAAATACACTGATGTGCCAGCATGCTGAGAGGCATCAGCCTGCGATACCTGACTTCTTTGAGCTTGGTGAGCAGGATTCCTGGGGTTTGGGATTCCTAGTGATGGTTACACAAAAGAATGAGTGGGCCTGGTACAGAGGTGAGGCCCCAAGGAGACAGCCTGAACTCCCTGCTCATAGTAGTGGCCTAATAATTCGGTAGGACTGCACCAACCCTGCCCTTGGGTTGAATACCAACCTCCAAGCTTAAAGATGACAAATTTGGAAGTACTTAGTAGGTATAAATCTTTCCTTGATTTTTTTTAACCCCCTTTCCATGAGGAAAGATCATTTAAATGACTGAGAATACATATGAAAGCAAGGTATTCTCATGAATTGTGTACTGGCAGCTATACACAGCTAGTATTTGAAAGTACGCTGTCAGTTGTGACGTGTTATGTATGTCAGGAATCACCACGGCCTGTGCTAGGCACTAAAGACTCGATGATTATTTGTCATCACATCCAGGTGACCTGAATAAAAATGTGTGACTCTGCTTTTAAACTATGCAAGTGCTTAAAGCCTTACCAGTTTCAGAGTTGATAAATGAATATTGATTACATAGAATATACTTTCTACTGTCTAGATACTGTGGATACAAACATTACAGGAAGCATGAATAAAGTGCTTTGTAAAAATTAGGTAATAATATGCTGATATTAGTAATTAAGTGACTGGTAAATTAAGAATTTATATTTATAGCCATCATGTTTCTGCTGCTTTGGTGATTTGAGTAAAAACATAGTCTTTCAGGTAGCAGAAAACACATGGAAACTGCTTTTAAACTATAAAATACACAGCAAACTCAACGGATTAAGCTATTGTGATGACTTATAATGTGCCAGATAATATGCGAGGCACTGTGATTAATGAAGGGGCGAAATATATTCTCAATATAGAATTAAAAATTTTATATAAGTGCATTTTAAAGTGGTTTGTAACTAAAGCACTATCAATGGGCTAAATGTTTATGAATGAATGAAAAAGTAAATATTAATTGCCTCTTATATGCCAGCTATTGTTTTGGATTCTGTGAAATCTAAGATAATGCTCCCAAGTAAAAAAAAAGGGAGGTTTAGCTCTGGCCAGTTTGGCTCAGTGGTTGGAGCATCGGCCTGTGGACCAGAGTCCCGGGTTCGGTTCCCGCTAGGGGCACGTACCAGAAAAAAGGGCGAGGTTTATGTTCTACATAATTTAGATGTAAGGAATTAGTTATTGCTTATTTTAATCGATCAAGACTTTACTAGAGATGTCAGGTTACTACCAGTATATTTTCCCAGGTAACAAGAAAATGTAATGAGTGAGATTGAGCTTTCTAAACTATAAAGTACTGTATAAATATAAGAAATTAGCCCAGCCGGTGTGGCTCAGTGGTTGAGCGTTGACCCATGTACCAAGAGGTCATCAGTTCAATTCCTGGTTAGGGCACATGCCCAGGTTGTGGGCCTGATCCCCAGCTGGGGGCATGTAGGAGGCAGCCAATCGATGTTCTCTCTTATCGATGTTTCTATGTCTCTCTCCCTTCCTCAATCTCTAAAATTAATAAAGAAAAAAGAAACTTAAAAAATATATATATAAGAAATTAGATATTTTCTGCATGAATAAAACTTTCTGTGAGATAAGCATTGTCTATAACCTTCTCACTGTGTGCTCGACCTACTATGAGAGCAGTAGTATAAATAATTATACAAACTGAGGGTTTGAAATCTTGTTAAATGAACAAATATCAGTTGCCTTCTATGTAAACTCACTGTTACAGGCACTAAAGAGATACGCATATTTATCATTTTCTTATGCCTACAGCTGAGAATAAGGCAATACATACGTTAGCATTTTGTGAACTCTGAAGCACCATATAAATGTAACCATTGATTTTTTTTCATTTGGTGCCAAATACTATAAAAAAAAGTTGGAAAATTTGAGGAAGTACTGTTAACTATTAAACAGTCTGAATATAATATGTGAAAGATTAAATTTATGATAAATGCAAGACTGGATAATAATTGTCTACTATCTGCCAGTCTTTTTGCTGGGCATCTTTATTGTGTCCTGGGTAGCAGAACACAATGTATAAAGTCAGTTTATCTCTTCAGCTGTCATATATATAAGCAATATTGGCTCAGCATTGTTTTTAGATTCATTTGATAAACAGCATATTTTATGTGGAATAAATCATTCTAGGTCCTGAGCATAAGCAGTGAAATGGACCTAGTCTAAATGTCTTTAGATCGATCACAAATCATAGCTGAAGATATGAAAACATCTTTGGTTTTTGAGTAAATATTTCAGTGCCTGTTTTCTGGGAAAAGTACTGGGCTCATTTAATTAATCAAGTAGGATTGTCCAGAAAATCCATTGACTTGACTTGGAGATTAAAAACATGGAAAATCAAGTCACTTCCTCATTGACCTACTTTGAAGCCAGAGACTGATGAAAAGGCTCAGAGTTTGTCTTTTAGTTCATTAAGATGCTGCTTTTATTATAGTTACACGGTTGAAAATGCGAATTAAGATGAAACAACTAATTTTAAAAGTATTTGCTCATTGGCTTGGCTTAAAGTCAGGAAGCCACTTGAGCAATAAAAAAGTTGTTTTCTAGTTTTTCCATATTTTGTAAACATTTATTCACTCTGAATAAAATACTGTCTTTAAGTGCTGAGGACAATTAAGAGATTCAAAAGACCAAAGTGCACTTTAATCTCACTAACCCATGGTTGAAACACGAACAGATTTTATGAGTGTGGGTCTTTCATTAGTTGAAAAAAATTAATTGAGCAGCTGTGATAATAAGACTGAGAAGGAGTGATTAAATAGATTACCTTCTCTGTCACGTTTTATCGAGTAAGAATGAGAGCCTTTTATTCATTCATACAAACATTGGAGAAGGTGATGCTAAAAGAAATAGATCTGGTACAAAAGGCATTTTGTCTTGGACGTGCAATAAAAAAAAAGAAGGAATGGAATGAAACTCATCATTAAACAGATGAGTCTATTTCAAGGCAATGCTAATTCCTAAACAGAGAACTAAGAAAGATCTTAACTAAAAGGCATTTGTTTTTTAACTGGCTTGGAGACTAGAATATAAAAGAGGTTATGTAATGTTCATTCACTTCTTTTTCTTTCATTCATTCATTCTACAAGTATATTTGAGTGCCTATTGTATATAAGCTCCTTTGCTAGGCACTCAATTGGCCCAAGAGAGATGAAAAATCAATGTTTTCCAAGAGAAATTGAAAAACTTTCCTTTTGGGTTGTTTTCTTGTTAGGAATTGCCTTAGCCCCTGAATAACATTGTGTGGTTTAATTCCTAGTACATATTTCTTGTATCACTCTGGCCACTACAATAAGCAGGGATTTCCACTAAGCTTGCTCCTTAAGTTGAAGGAACCCTACTTATAATAGTTCATTTTTCCTAGCCCATCCCTCATGAAAAATGGCTGTGGCAGACAACTAATTCCCAAACCTCAGTCTCAGTGGTACCAACCTTCGGGAACTATTCATACTCAAGCCACAGCTGATTTTGAAATATTTACCAGATTTGTCTATTTTCAATTCTTTATCTTTTACGTTCAGACAAATATACATGGCCTAACTACATCTCTGAAGAACAATCCCCAGATAGTACATAGCAAGATTGTAGATGGAGACATGATTTCTCTTTAACAGATTTTCTATGTAAACCTTGGAAGTTACCTTCTCAGCATCAAAACCTGCTCATGAAGGACTTACTATGGTAGAATACGGTCAGTGAATGAAAATGGCTTAACAATTTTTACCATGCTTAAATTTTAAGAATAATGAAAACTGGAAGTGATTGGCAAAAATTGGAGGGAAAAATACCAATCAAAACAAAACAAAACAAATTAAAAACCAAAACCTCTAAATCTAGGCCCAACTGGGCTTTGACCTTTTCTATTTTTAAATCACTCACAGAGGGTGGGATAGGAGGAAGAGTGAAAGAAAAGGTCAAACCCATTTCCAAGGGCAGCCTGCCTTTGTTTTGGATTGTTCTTAAAGTCTAACGGATTGCTTTTTTAGTTTAATGTAATTCCAATAACTGGTTCGTTGCTGATGTGAGGATCAAGTTCTTTGTCCTCACTCATTTCAATAAAGTTTCGAGAAACTCTGGCTGACTGATGATATTATCAACTAAGCCTTGGGTTAGATAATTATGGGATTTATTAATTGAATCAATTTGGCCTCCATCATAAGGTGGTCTTAAAGATAAAATTCACTGCAAAGGAACAGGACTTCATTGTCCACTATATTTAATACTTTACTTTACATGGCAGGCCAACAATAACATGCATAAATGGAGAAGGAAATAGATGTCAAAGGATAGTCGGAGGGAGCAAATACGAAAAGAGGATTTGGGGCGATTTTTCTGGTTTTTGCTTTGTACATTTCAATTTTGACATCAGATACATCTGTAATGTTCGGCTTTTAACATGTGGTGTCAGCTGGACTCTAACTCCTTTATTTAAGTAGGGTTGAGTCTGCATTATTGGAAAGTGCAAAGAAGAAAGTAATGACAAGCCTTCCTTTTCCAGTTTCTGGCATCCTAAGACTAACACTACTGATAAAACAAGACTACAGCATGCTACCATCATCTGGTTTTTGTGGCATAAATGAAGTAGTGAACAAATCTGGTTTTATAAGAAATGACTTCATCTCTACCTTCTGCCTCAAAGGGAATATATGCCAAAATGTTCCATTATATGGAAGAAATACTTTGACTTGTGAACTGATGCAAAATGTAGAATCTTTGCACCTTGAGTGAAATCAAAAAGCCATCAGAGATTACAACAGACACATGGGGGGAGTAAGTTTTCTAATGTGAAATAAAATGTACTCTTTTGAAAACTTAGTATTTTGATGTGACAAGTTCTGTCTCATTGTGTATTCTTAACCACACTGTTTCATTTTTCTTTTTCTTTTTTTTACCCCCTTAATCACCCAGCGTTGGTAAATGATTTGCAATCTCACTTCATTTGCTTTGGTCAAGAATACTGAGAACCACAAGCTCAATACAACGTGAGAAGCAAAAACATTTTGAGGAAAAGGCAGGATGGCAAGTAGGGTCATTCAGGAAAGAAATTACTGTAATTAAACAAGTGAACAGCCCTAATCCCTCAGCAAAAGGGATCACTGGTGTTCTGAGTGATTAAATACCCAAATGTTAGATTGGGGACTTAATAGGCATATGACTCAGTACAGTCTTTATAGGCAAGAGCTTCTGTTCTTTGTTGGCAATTATACTGGCAAGCATTGCCTTTGGAAGAAATCCTTAAGCTGTTGTGGGCCAAGTGACTGTTCAGTACATGTGCTTTTAGTACTGAAGCCTAAAGAACTCTTGCCTTAAATGTTACAATTACATCTTGTTATTACTAATGAGTAGGATGTGAGGTAATTAAATTGGCCCATGTCCTGGTGTGTCCCTTCTGAAAGAGAATGGTCCTAAGTTCTCATTGGCACTTATTTCCATTTCCCTGCAAGGGTAGGTGTGGGACTTATAAAGCCAATGGGGCAAGTGGGTGGAGAGGTTAGGAAAGAGCTCTTAAGTTATTGGGTGTCTTCCATGCCTCCGACTCTTGGCACTTCTATGTCCTCGGGCCATGTTTTTTCCATGCCAAGGCCACTCCCACAGATTAATTTGTACCTCCTGTCCCATACCCCTCAGGGTTCTTATTGCTAGTAGTTCCTGGATTTTCCATAGAATTTCACTTGGTTACCAGCATTTCTAATCTTTCATTTATGCAACCTGGTTTCTTTTCTGTGTGGGCTCTGAATCGAAATCATGACTGCAGTGAAAGCTCTCGTCACTTGAATGCATGAAGAAAGATCAGAGGAATAGGGTGAGGTAAAGTAAGGTGGGAAAGAGAAGTTGGGATTTGAGGGGACTTGCACATAGCTTACTACTTAGGCACAGCCTGTCAGTTTGGGAAACTCAGCAAGAAAACAATTTTCAGGTGGGATGAAAAAATTTGGAAGAAAAATATGTGGAAGAGGAGGAATGTAGGATGGATTGTGAGGACCTCACTGTATAATCTACAAGAACCTACTAGATCTATCCTCCAGGCCTAAAGTCTCCCCTTTTCCATTTGGAATTTATTTTTTAAATATTTTTCTTTATTGATTTTAGAGAGAGGAAGGGCGAGGGAGAGAGAGATAGAAACATCAATGAGAGAGAACATTGGCCACCTCCTGCATGCCCCTCACTGGAGATTTGGCCCACAACCTGGGCATGTGCCCTGACCTGGAATCAAACCAGTGACCTTTTGGTGCTTGTGTCAATGCTCAACCACTGAGCCACACTCGCAGGGCTATTTTTAAAATTGTTAACGATTCTGACAATATCCCTGCAACTGCATTATAATAAGAATAGAGAAAGGTGTGGGATGTGTCTAT